CAAAATGAAATGAGGTGCAAAGGGAATTAACTGTTTTAAGTTATAGAGAGTACATTTTAGGTATGTGCTTGTGCTAGGCTTGTGATAATGAAAGCATTTTAATCATACTTTAGTGACTACAATGCTGATGAGAGTTTGGTTTGTTTGTAAATGAGGAAAATGGGAAAACAACAATAGCACAGCCAAGAGGTTTGGATCTGAAGTATATATATATTGATATCCCATAGGGAATCTTATAGCTGTACATTATCAGTAGGTGTCACATTTTAAGCTAGTCCCTGCCTTATATGATCAAAGGGTTAAAAGTGGTTGCCAAAATTTGTAATCTGTACAGTGTGGCACAGAGTTCCCTTCCATTACCTAACCAGGCATTAATATCACCAAAGGTCACAGATGTTAAAGAGTATTTGAGTAATAGTAACAAGTGGCATTAACATATCAAGCTTAAAAAAAAAAAAACAAGAAAAAACCAATAAAATAAAATAAAAATTAAATGCAGAGGAAATCAATATACAACCTTATGTAACTGAGACAATTTGATTAGCACTTACTTTGCCAATAATGTCTAACTGAACCACAAAAACTGATGTGAATCTGACCTTAAACAGAGTAAAAACTTCAAGGACAAGCAATGAAGGTAACAAATCTTATGGAAAATGACCTCTGCTACTATTACTCAAACAGTGACCATTAACTGTGATCCCGGCATAAACAGTATGGTTAGCATTTGACCCGTGTCTTCTCTCTTCAACCTAGGATTGAATGGTGTTAATTATGGCACATTAGTGGCCTCTACGAGACCCATCAATCTGGAACAGTTTCCTAAGCAATTGCCTTGCTCCCTTATTTGGCACTAAACCATCTACTATCAAACTCCTGTATTTCTATAGATCAGACAGTTATATATATATGTGTATATATAATAAGAGAGATATAAATGAAATATTAAAATAATGATGGTAATCATATAAATCATAATAAGAATAAAAACTAGCATGCAAGACATTAAGTGATATATGATTTACTTGACTTTCTGAATAGTAATTAGCTCTTTACTAATACCACTTTCATATAAAATCTACAACCCTACAAAGGCAATTGCTTTGATAATCCAATTCACGATCTGCGTTCCTTGGTTGCTTCAAATCTTTACTGCAACATGCTATTGTATTCTACTTGATATAGATGTTTATGGGAAATGAAGGCAATTAAATCACAATGAAAAATAAAGAAAATAAGAAAAACTTCAAGTGACTTGTATTTCTGAGAAAGCTGAACCATTATGAACGCAGTTTGAGTATGTGTTAGCACAGCAGGTGAGGCACAAGGTCGAACTTAGAGCCGACTTGCCATGTTGCTGTCACCTCGGTTAGTAACTTGGTCCCTTGGTAGCTGTTATTAAATTCATTATTAAATTGTCACCATTTGGAAAGATGAGAACATTAATGAGAATCAGGATAATATCCAATGGCTTTAAGAGCTGCCTCCCCGTAGCATAAAACTGATGCCGTCTCGGGAAAGCAAACTCACCATTACTGGGTGTTATTCTACATTCTAAAAGATTGCACAAACCAGCTCCTGTTTAAAAAGATGATTATTAACAGCTTTGGATTGTATCATATTGCCTTTCTAGAGGATGCTTCTTTTCTCACAGGAAAACTACAAGGCCTCGTTAATTCATCTTAAACCTTCAACAACTACTCAGCATTTACAAATAAACATTTCAAACTTAACACTTATCAAACCCCAGAAGGGCTTTACAAATATAGAGTAAAATAATGAAACAAAATAATGAAAACTAGGAAGGCAATGTGACAATTTTTCATGTGTGTCCAACAGATTGCCTCTGAGCTTCCTAAAACATATTTGTGTCACATTCATAATTAGAAATTGATGTATAATCTATTGTTGGTATTCAAATTATACTTATAATTTAAATTAGTTGAATATAAACTTTGTTTATCTTCACTAATAATACACACACACACACACATATATATGCATAGATATATCCACATATTTGCATGTATACATATATATTTACACACACATATGCATAAATATATATATGTACATATTTGCATATATACATATATATTCATACATATATACACACACATATACATATACATACATGTACATATGCATATACATACATGCATACATATGCATCCATATATATGTATACATATATGCCCAATATATATGCATACAAACATGCATATACACACAAACATACATACATATGCTTATACATACATATATGCATAAATATGCATATACACATACATACATATATATGCATATACATATAATTACACATACATACATATGTACATACATATACATATACATATATACATACATATGCATATACATAGATACATACATGCACATATACATACATTTTATATATGTATATGTATATGTGTATATATATATATATATATATATATATATATATATATATATATATATATATATATATATATATATATATATATATATATATATATATACACACACACACACACACACACATACATACAAATATATTGCTACTTTCTCTAATCTGCAACATGACCTATACCTGTGGCTGAGACAAAACTAAGAAACTAAATATCTATTGGACACACATTAAGCTTATATTCCAAATCAAGAAAGTTAGGCTAGTTTAATAATGCATTACTGAGGAGGAAGTGGGTATAGATTTGATTAAAATTAGATGCTCTTAAATAATCTAAAGCATGCAAGACTGCCAACCCAAAACCAAGAATAACTATATTACTGCATCCACCACCACGACCAAGAGACAAATTAAGTACAGTCCTATAATTAAATCTCTAATATACCTATGTTGTAACATCTTATTGAAGATAAGGAAAACATCAATTAACTCATGGCCTATAGCCACCAACTTCAAAACACACTTTGCAAAAGAGCTATCAAACTACCTATATCAAATGAAGTATAAATAAATATAAGAGCCATCAACTTTCACAACCTCAGACTCTAGCAGAATTATAAAATATTTTCAGTAACTTATAATGCACACTGCCAAGTTTAAGTTTGGCACTGAGAACCCCTCACAACGATCAGTCCTCTGAGTCACATTGTAAATATTTGAGGGAATGAAACAGGTTATCTAAAGCATTTCTTTTCAAACATTTCTCAGAGGTAGAAAAAGCACCATACATAAACATTTACAATGAAAGCACTGGCCACAAAATGGAATGCAATAAACAAATCACTGGGCTTATTATGCACGCTGAATGAGCAACATTTGATAACTTAAATCTTTTTTTATTTTCAAAATTATGAAGCTCGGCCAATAACAAGTGTTTGGTTACACTATCATATCAGCTATATTACTTTGCTGGAAAGCTTTTTTTTTTCCCTATACACAGAAGAACAAGTGAAAGCCAGAGCTGGAATCCCTAGCACAACAGACGAGCCCCACAAAAATCATGGCAACACACCACCGCACGCTGCAAATGCTGTGTGCGGCAACATGGCCAGATAGTGTGGTTAACCCTTGGTGGGTGTGTGAACGGTGCGGGGTGGTGGTGTGGGTGGTGTGGGTGGACTAGTACATGGTTCATCTGGCAAACAACCCACCAGCAGCGTCCGGGGGGTACTCAGTGAGGAGGGGGGAGGTGAGGGCAGCGTAGTTGGCAGCATACTCTGCAGCAGCGGCATATGGAGCAGCATACAGGAGACTAGCAGATGCATCACTTGCAGCAATCAGTGGTGGCGGCATCCCAGCATTTCCTGTTCCATTTATCAGCGCATTTGAAGTTGGAACATGGATCCTTGCAGGCATGATGAGAGGAGGACCACCCAGCGGTGTAGTTGTGCGCAGCGGAGACGGGAGTGTCATTCCTGGCGTGATGAGGCGTGGTGCCTCCCCTGCAAGATGACCCAGTGCCTCAAATTCTGGCAAGGGGCAAAGAAGGTCATGTTAGTCAGTCAGTCCACCACCAACACACACATACTCCTCAAAGTAAATTAGTGCATCCTGAAAATGGAAAACAACTATACCCCTTAAGTCATGAGACTTTAGATCTGGAGAAAAGAAAGCAATGAATTTAGTTTTATTATCTGAGTCCCAATCCCTGACTATGTTATAACTTCATAAAATATTGCAAATGAGAGGAACACTTGCAAATCATTAGTTATATTAAATCTCAGACATCCAGTTGTTAAAAATCTACTCTATGAAGTCTCTTTATAGTGCACTATAAAAGCTGGCTGTTGAGATTCTAATACGGTTGTAAATCATGACCATCTAAAACTGCTCTGCAATTTCCACTTTACTAAGACACTCGCTGCACTGAGCGAACCTAACACGAATTGATAATTGCAATCTTTTTTTCCTCTTTCATAGTGTACACTACCTTCCATACACATTTAACCTTCTCTTTATAAAAAGCAATGAATTATCACCCTAAAATTGCCAGCCCATGTAAGAGTGACCCCTCTAACAATTAAAATCTATTCTAAACATCTGAAGAAAAATTGGATATCTTTACAAAAGTACACTATTTTTTCTCTTTTCTTTTCTTTTCTTTTGGGGTGGGCTGGGAGGGTGCACTATAAAGAGATCATTTGGATAAGAAGTCTTACAACTTTTGTTATAAGTCTGAAATATTATTGTAGCTGTGGGAATAAAAAAAACATAATAATGTATCTCAGAAAGATTAAGCCATCAATAAAGCTGCATTACCAGTTGCATTTATGAAATAACTCGTACACACACTGTGGAATTTTCAAGAAGTTTCTCGGTGATGAGGACTTAGCATGACAATGGATATATTGAACAGAACCCCCAAATTATTTCAAACCATTTTTATCTAAATGAAACAAGTAATGCATTGATTCGTCTAATGATATAATAGGATCTATCAATCCATACAAAGGACAAACTACAATATAACAAGGAGAGTTTAAGTACTTCAACTCTAGGTTAAAGTTACAGTAACCTCAACTCTGTCTAATATAAGCAATAAATCAAAACGGCAAGAGTACTATACCGTTCACTGGGTACAGTCGACCCCCGTTATAGTGGCTGCTCTGGGCAGAGGCCAAAAAGGCCACTGTAAGGAAATGGCCAGAACAAAATGCAATATAAGTGATTGAAATTAATGTTAAAAAGGGGTTAATTGGGCTTCGTTTACAGATCAGTGGCCTTTGTTAGGATGTGGCCCCTGTAACGAGTCGACTGTATTATTCCAGTACAGTGGTGTGGACTGATCAAAGACATGCAAGGCAAATGTGCTCTTAGGAACTGAAATCATATACTGCAACTACAAACAGGTTCTGATACTCCAAAAAGCAAATACTCCTACAGTATGGTGCTCCATCTGAGTGTGTATATGACCTGCACTGCTGTTAGGAGTGCAATTCCAAGAGCATATGATGCCAGTAACACACCAGTCCTCTCTATAGTCATAACTTGTATTATTTAAGCAAAGTCACAAGCAGGAATTCAAATTATAACACTAAAGGTGTAATAACTACAAACAGTGCTTAAAAGCATTAGATAGAACATACCTGCATTCTTGCTGGAAGAATCTCTGTATGTGCCGTTGATAATGGCAAGCTCCATCAGCTGTCTCTTCTTGAGTTCATCTTCACCATCAGCCTGTAATATTATCATCTTCTAATGAAAACTGCTAACACGCCTTAAAAACAGTCTGTTCAACACCAAAATAATTAAAGGTAATAGAAAAAATGGAAAAAAAAAAAAAAACATTATATGTGTATGTGTGTATATATGTGTATATATGTGTGTGTGTGTGTGTGTGTGTGTGTGTGTGTGTGTGTGTGTGTGTGTGTGTGTGTGTGTGTGTGTGTGTGTGTGTGTGTGTGTGTGTGTGTGTGTGTGTGTGTGTGTGTGTGTGTGTGTGTGTGTGTGTGTGTGTGTGTGTGTGTGTGTTGTGTGTGTGTGTGTGTGTGTGTGTGTGTGTTGTGTGTGTGTGTGTGTGTGTGTGTGTGTGTGTGTGTGTGTGTGTGTGTGTGTGTGTACATGTGTGTGTGTGTGTGTGTGTGTGTGTGTGTATGTGTGTGTGTACAATGTGTGTGTGTGTGTACATAGTGTACAATACATAATCATTTAATAATAGATAAATAAACTTTATATACATTACATTCATATACTAGATAAATAAACAATGCACAACTTACTGATGGAACAAGCAGCTTTCGGATCTCTTCAATTGCCCGCTGAATTTTAAGTTTGGCTCTGTTCTCTGTGTCTTCTACAGTAATGAGAACATGCAATTCCTCATTTAAGTGCTCCCAGTTGGGTTTGCCGCGGTTCTGCTCCTCCTGTTTCACAATTCATAAATCATTGCTGTTAGTTACCTTTGTCAAGAGGTTCTGAATACTTGTAACAAGTTTCCTATAAGGGCAATACCAAAGGTTTACATGCAATACAACATTGACAAGCACAAAAACGGACACATTTTCACTACATTATCAATACTTTAATACACAAGACAATCTGTCATCTACAACAGACTTCCAGGATGTTAAAGAAATACAAATCTGCGTTTGGTGATGATAAACCACAGACAATGAACATCCGAATATACTAAATACATATAGAATAAACAAGGAAATCTTCCTCTTATGAACAATACTATTCAAACTAACATTAAACTTACATCCTGTTAAATCCCTCTTCATACAATCTAGTCCTGTTCCTGAGTTTGCAGCATGTAATATATATCAAACAAAATATCATGATAATGTTAAGAATATCCATTCAACTGTGTATTAAATATATTTCATAAGTTAAATGAAGAAAGGGAGAGAGGAGGTAAAAAGAAGAAAGAGGAGGAGAGAGGAGAGGGAAGGGGGGAGACAGAAGGGGGAGAGGGAGCAAAGAGAGCGAGGAAAGGGAGTGAGGAAAGGAAGAGAGAGAAGAAAGGGAGGGGGAGGGAGTAAAGGAAGAGAGAAGAGGGGGAGAGGGAGGAGTGGTAGAGGTATAGGGAGAGAAGAGGAAAAGGAGGGAGAGAGAGAGAGAGGAGAGAAAGGGAAAGAGAGGGAGGGAGGGAGGAGGGAGGGAGGGAGGGAGGGAGGGAGGGAGAGAGAGAGAGAGAGAGAGAGAGAGAGAGAGAGAGAGAGAGAGAGAGAGAGAGAGAGAGAGAGAGAGAGAGAGAGAGAGAGAGAGAGAGAGAGAGAGAGAGAGAGAGAAGAGAGGGAGAGAGACTAAGAAAGTGGCAGGCATGGATGAAAGGTGGAGGGAAAAGCTAAAAGGATTGAGACACAACAAACAACTCAAACAGTTATATTCTACAATTCGGTAGAGCAAGTTTCCAGTTCTTTGTGTGCCTTGGCGAGTGAGGGGAGAGTGCAGGAGGGGGGGGGGAGACTAACCTTCTTTTTGTCCCGCATTGAGCCCTTCCCGCGCACCATGATCTTGCACCCGGTCTCTTGCTCTAGCTGTTTGGCCGTCATACCGCGCGGCCCTAGTATTCGACCCACGAAGTTGAACTGAAAAGGAAGAGAACATTAATTAATCGTTGGATCACTCTCACTCCAAATGCGCGGCGTGTCTCGCAACCCAGGCAAAACCAAAGGCCAAAATAATCGCATCAAAGAAGCTTGCGTAGAGCGTCCGGGAGGGCCAATCAGCGCGGCACGCGGGGGCGAGACGCACTTGGCCATTATGCAAAGGAAACGTCATGGCGAAGAGGCCAATGCCGTGTACAGGTCAAGGAGGCGTGTCATGTATTACGTGCATGTGGGTGGCGTTTGATATGACGGGCGGCGCGAGTGTGGTGGCAGCAGGTGTTGATGGCACTTCATCTCGTGAACAGCGACAATTTTCAGTGCTACGGTGGTGGTGCTGGTGCGAGGTAGCACCGGTGGCGTCTGTCCATCTGGGCTGGGTTATTAATACACAAGCGGCGTGCGACCCAGACCCCATGCTATATATACACCCACCACCCTACCCATGCCGCCCGCCGCCCAACCCGCTCCCGCCTATCAACCCATCCCACCCAACCCAAGGCTCTTCCGTCCACGAAGGCAATTCCAAGCCCGTGATTTGCCTTCAGCCAATGCGTCCCTCTCCGCCGCCAAAAATAAGTATCCCGGACTCGAACTCCCCTCAGCGCCGCCGTCCGCTCGCCCCGCGCTGGCCTCCTCCGCGCCTAAGAGCCCGCTGCCGCTTCCCACCCGCTGGTTCTAAATCCCCATGCTACGCCTTCCCGCTTCACCCATCTCGCATGAAGGGGCGGCGTGGGCCCCTGTGTGTGTGTCCAGGTGGCGCAGCGAGTGTGTCAGCGCGGGTGAGTGCCCGTCGAGTAGCTTCTACGGCTCCGCGCGATGCCTCAGGAGACACGTGTCTCCTCTTGGACACGTCGCACCTAAATCTCGGACGTGAAGTTTCCGGCGGCGAACTTCCCCCGAAACACACACAAGCACGCGCGCTGCGTCACTAGCTAAGCTCCTCTGCTGTATGTGAGCGCATTTGAGTGCGTGTATTCGTAGTTGTGGCTCCCTGTCTGTTTATGAAAAAGTGGAGAATGTCAAAGGAAAAGAATGTATACTTTTCCCTCTATCTTCTATATGAGAGAGAGAGAGAGAGAGAGAGAGAGAGAGAGAGAGAGAGAGAGAGAGAGAGAGAGAGAGAGAGAGAGAGAGAGAGAGAGAGAGAGAGAGAGAGACTGTGTTCTACTGTGCCACGCAAGCCTTGGACCCCCACCAAGGTAAACACTCGCACTCGTCATCCATGCTAAAACTAACAACCGCCTTTTTTTCTCTCTTCTCTTTCCTCCTGATCACCTAATGAGTCAGTCACATCTGATTTTATCCAACCTTCGCGAGTCACAAAGACCTCCCTTTGTTTTAAAAGCCCGATCGCCAACTCAACAAACCCAACAAACCCTCCTGATTATAAACAAACAGAAGCAGCATAAGTAACAACAACAACAACAACGGGGTACCTTTACGTAGCGCACAAACACGCAAAATAGGAATGCAAGAGTAAACAGGAGTACGTGGATTGGGGGAGCCAGGTGGGAACGGGAAGGAGACGGGGAGGGGGGGGGGGGCATGGTGCCATCAGCGCGTGCCAACGTAAACGCTTGATGCTACCTGGCGCCCTCACTCATTACAGCAGGGAGAGGGGCAGGAGGAAAGGGGAGAGGAAGAGAGAGGGAGAGGAGGGAGAGGGAAGGAGGGAGGAGAGAGGGAGAGAGGGGAGAGGGAGAGGAGAGGAGGGAGAGGGAGGGGGAGAGGGAGAGGGAGGAAGAGAGGGAGGGGGAGAGGGAGAGGGAGAGAGGGAGAGGGAGGGAGGGAGGGAGGGAGGGAGGGAGAGAGAGAGAGAGAGAGAGAGAGAGAGAGAGAGAGAGAGAGAGAGAGAGAGAGAGAGAGAGAGAGAGAGAGAGAGAGAGAGAGAGAGAGAGAGAGAGAGAGAGAGAGAGAGAGAAAGAGAGGTTAGGCACCCGGGTCGATCTCACTCTGACCGAAGTCGTTTGGCTTGCCAGGCGTGACTCAATTTGTGCGCGGAAATAAGTGTCATGGATGCAACAACGGAACGCACATGCACACCAACAGGCCTGCAATCGTTCCGAATGTTAATGGCGCAACCCGGTTCCCCTCCGAAAGCACAGTCACTTCGAATCTCCGCCAAAACTCAACCGTGTCAATTCCTTGAAGGCAAATAATAAAGTTTGACTTTGGGAGTAAAATAAAAATAAAACGAAAAAAAAAAACGTGTGTGTCAAAGCGCAACAGCTGGGTGTCCGCGTCCTTGTTTACTCTCCAAACTGAAAACTTAAAAAAATCTTTTAAAAAATACATAACCACCCATCTTTCCGTCATCCATAACCGCGCACCGCCTTTAGTTTCCTCGAGGGCAGCAGCAGCAACTCTCAGCCTCCGAGCCGAGATAAATTTATCGTGTGGGTCTGTTGAAAAGTCTGAATATCAAGCCCAGTAAAAGGCGCATGAGAGCATACCCCCGCCCCCACCCCACCCCAGCCCCCTTTCGGGACGCCAGCCTTAATCGAGGAGGAAAGGACGTGATGCGAGGGAGATGCTGTCGCCGCGGGTGTGGGGCCGAGCGAAGACAGGCGGGGCGGGCGGGCGGCGGGCGGGCGCGGGGAGTCACAGGACATGGGCAAAAAAGCGGGACGCGGGTGGAGCCACGTGCTGGGGGCGCCGCACAAAAAGCCACCTCCTCTTCCCCCAGCAAGGCGCCACCTGGCCGGCACCACAGCGTACGCCCGCCGCAACGAACGACTCTCGGGAACGGACGAATGTGGCGGAAACGCTCGCCAACGCCGACGGGAAAATGAAATGCAAGCGCCGCGGCCCACAAACCCTTGCACCGGATCGTTCATGAACATCTCCAGCGCGGACACTAATGTTCCACGTGGGCATACACCGTGGATAGGGGAACGTCATAAAATCAGAGAGGAGGAATATATACGCGAGCGTTAAATGCCACGTCGAACATTCAGTGTCGCAGTAATTTCTGGAAAACTTTGACAGGAAGAAAAGGGTTTCCCGCGCGGACGGAGGCTATAAAAACAACCTAATTGGATCGCGGAGAAATGAAGGTTTCCCACGTTCACTTTGTCGACTCTCAGAAGCGAACAAAAACGCCCAAAGACCAAGAATCTAAAAATGCGCACTTGTGACCCTGTGCCTTCACCTACATATTTGCAACATTCTTTACCGGGCATCTGCTTGCAAGCGCGTACTCTTGGCATATCGCTCCTGAGAGGGAGAGGGAGAGGGAGAGGGAGAGGGAGAGGGAGAGGGAGAGGGAGAGAGGGAGGGAGGGAGGGAGGGAGAGGGAGAGGGAGGGAGGGAGGGAGGAGGAGGAGGAGGGAGGGAGGGGGGGAGAGAGAGAGAGAGAGAGAGAGAGAGAGAGAGAGAGAGAGAGAGAGAGAGAGAGAGAGAGAGAGAGAGAGAGAGAGAGAGAGAGAGAGAGAGAGAGAGCGAGAAAGAGAAAGACAGAGAAAGAGAAAGACAGACAGACAGACAGACAGACAGAGAGAGACAGAGAATATGAGAGAATATGCCTACGTTCGGGCGGGATCGTTATCACCTCCAACAAGGCTGCCAAAATAAACAAGTTTCTCGTCAGACGTAAATTAATGAGGACGTTCTCCCTCGCTCTCGCTCTCTCTCTTGTATCTGATCGCCATCTTAATCTCCTTAGACTCCTTTCCCAAACAATTTTCCCTTTCCCTCCTTCCTCCTCCTCCCCACTTATATCTCTCTTTCTCTTCCCCCCCCCATCCTTCCTCACACTTTCTCTCTCCTCATTCCCTCCCCCATTCAACCCCTTCTTTTCTTCTCTTTCATTTCCTCCGTTCTCCCTCTCTCACTTTCTCTCCTCCCCTTTCTTCTTCTCTTTCCTCCCTCTCCCCACCTTTCACTCTCTCCCCCTTTCGCCCTATCTCTCTCTCCTCTCCTTCCTCCCCCTTTCTCTTCTCCATCCCTCCCTTCTTCTCCCCGTTTTATCTCCCCTTCCTCCCTCTCTCTCCTCCCCCTTCCCTCCCCCTCCCCTTCCCCTCCGCCACCCCCTACCGCCCTCGCGCAGGCACCACGCACGCCCATCACTTCACCAGAGAGGACAGGTGCGCCTTGCCCTTTTTGCGGCGGTGGGGGCGGGGGATGCTAATATGAAGATGGGGGAGGAGGGGGGGGGGGGAAGGAAGGTTTGAGGACGAAGAAAATGAGGAGGAAGATAAGAGGAAATGAGGAGGAGGAGGAGGAGGGCGACGAGAGGGAAACGACATAAACAATAAGAGACTAAGACGGTAAGACAAAATTATAAGGAAGAACTAGGAAAATGATACAGAGGAATGCACCACCACCCTCCTTCCCCTACCACCACTTCCCCTCAAACCCCCCACCCACCACCCCTTCCCACACCATCCAATTACAGAGGCTGCGAGAAGCTCCTGCAGTACCCACCCCCTCCCCCCCCCCTCCCCTCCCCCCCTCCCCCCTGTTCCTTCGTCCAAGCAGTCGCCGTGTTGTTTACATCAAGGCAGATGCATTAGAATGACCATAAACAAGGCAACCAAGGCGTTGGGTCACACCTCTGTACTGCACGCCCACTCTTCCCTCTCCGCAGGATGCTTGGAGGAGGAGGAGGAGGATCAGGAGGTCAGGCAGGAGGAGGAGACGAGGAGGAGGAGGAGAGGAGGAAGAGAGAGGAAGAGGAGGAGGAGGAGGGGAGAGGAGGAGAGGAAGAGAGAGAGGAGGAGGAAGAGAGAGAGGAGGAGGAGGAGAGGAGAGGGAGGAGGAGGAGGAGAAGAGACGAGGAGGAGGAGGTGGAGGAGGAGAAAGGAGAGGAGGGAAAGGAGGAAGATGAGGATCAGGAGGAGGATCGGAATCAGAAGGAGAAGAAACGAGGATGAGAAGGAAGAAGAGGGGCAGGAGGAGGACGACGACGAGGATCGAAATCAGAAGGAAGAGGAGAAGAAACGAGGATGAGGAGGAAGAAGAAGCAGAAAGGAGGAGGA